CTCCTTTATAGCTGCCGCTGTCGATGTCCCTGCTGATGACGTGGTGTGAACGAGGTTCTCGATGAACTTGATACCAGGACAGGACGGTGCTGTCGACGAGTGATTGGCAGGTTGAAGATTGCTGTCCGGATGCCGGAAGAAAACCGCGCCGTCATCGTGACTCCAGTTAGTTGGGGACCCACGCGCCGGCACGCTCAGGAACTGCGGGAGTACGAAAAACATGAGCAACTTCATGACTGCAGAGCTTCCATGCCCACTGGCGCGCTGTCGGAAGGGGAGCTCCTTTATAGCTGCCGCTGTCGATGTCCCTGCTGATGACGTGGTGTGAACGAGGTTCTCGATGAACTTGATACCAGGACAGGACGGTGCTGTCGACGAGTGATTGGCAGGTTGAAGATTGCTGTCCGGATGCCGGAAGAAAACCGCGCCGTCATCGTGACTCCAGTTAGTTGGGGACCCACGCGCCGGCACGCTCAGGAACTGCGGGAGTACGAAAAACATGAGCAACTTCATGGCTGCAGAGCTTCCATGCCCACTGGCGCGCTGTCGGAAGGGGAGCTCCTTTATAGCTGCCGCTGTCGATGTCCCTGCTGATGACGTGGTGTGAACGAGGTTCTCGATGAACTTGATACCAGGACAGGACGGTGCTGTCGACGAGTGATTGGCAGGTTGAGGATTGCTGTCCGGATGCCGGAAAAAAACCGTGCCGTCATCGTGACTCCAGTTAGTTGGGGACCCACGCGCCGGCACGCTCAGGAACTTCGGGAGTACGAAAAACATGAGCAACTTCATGGCTGCAGAGCTTCCATGCCCACTGGCGCGCTGTCGGGAGGGGAGCTCCTTTATAGCTGCCGCTGTCGATGTCCCTGCTGATGACGTGGTGTGAACGAGGTTCTCGATGAACTTGATACCAGGACAGGACGGTGCTGTCGACGAGTGATTGGCAGGTTGAAGATTGCTGTCCGGATGCCGGAAGAAAACCGCGCCGTCATCGTGACTCCAGTTAGTTGGGGACCCACGCGCCGGCACGCTCAGGAACTGCGGGAGTACGAAAAACATGAGCAACTTCATGGCTGCAGAGCTTCCATGCCCACATAGCCATTCTTTTTTAGGTCGCTGATGATTGTTTGGTCCTCTTTTCTTTTGTCGTTTTCAGAAGAGCACACAGCCTTAGCTCTCGTAAACAGTGTGGAGACGACAGACGCCTTGTGGCTAACCGGGTGGTTGGAATCGAACCGGAAGTAACGTCCAGAGTGAGTTGGTTTCCTGTGCACGGTAAATTTTAGGGCATCACCTTGTCTTCTGACCAGCACATCGAGGAAGGGCAAAGTGTTGTTGTGTTCGCGTTCCACGGTGAATTGTATAGCCGGTTCTATAGAAATGAGGTGGCCGAGGAAGTTGTCCACTTCTGATCCTTGTATGATGCAGAAGCAGTCGTCGATATACCGTAGGAATATCTGGGGTCTGGATGCAAAAGATTGTAGAGCCTTCTGTTCGATTACTTCCATTGTCAGGTTGGCCATGGCAACGGAGATGGATGCGCCCATTGCCGTGCCACTAGTTTGTTGGTAGAATTGTTGTTTGAAGGAGAAGTAAGTATTGTTCAAGCAGAATTCTAGGAGACGACATATCTCATCGATGCTGAGGCAAGTTCTTGTGTCTAAGTCTTCATCCTTCTCGAGAGCTTCTCTTGTTGCGGTGACAGCCAGAGGAATCGGGACGTTTGTAAAAAGGGATACAACATCGAATGATACCAGACACTCGTCATTGTCGACCCTTATTTGCGATATGCGTTCTACAAAATCGCTGGAATTCCGTACGTTAGTCGGCGTATTCCCGGCGAGAGGGGATATTACTCTGTGTAAGTAGTCTGACAAAGCTCGAAGTGGTGAAGTTGTGAAGTCAACGATGGGTCTCAGAGGAACGTCGGGCTTATGGATCTTGGGAAGTCCGTAAAATCCTGGAGCGAATCCATTTCTGCAAATAAGTCGAAGGTAAAGGTTCTTTGACTCCGGGTAGTTTTTAAAAATTGTTGCCAGCATGCTGTTTAAGTTTCTCTGTATGACGAGCGTCGGATTCCGTTTGAGCTTCTTCTAGGCGGAGCAATCAAGAAGTTTTTCGGTCTTTTCTTCGTACGCTACTCTGTCAAGGACGACAGTCGTGTTGCCTTTGTCCGCTGCTAAGATGACGATGGTGCTGTCTTCTCTGAGCTTGCGGAGCGCTGTGTGTTCCTCCTTAGAGATGTTGTATGGTTGACGTCGTGGGAGTTTCGACAGTGCGCTGATTGCCTTTAGACGGATTCCTTCCCGTACGCTAGGATCCATGTGCATGATGCCGTCCTCGATAGCAGCAGCCATATGCGCCAAAGGAGGCCGTATGGTGGTGTGGTTGTAGTTATGACCCCTGGCGAGGACATCAATTTCACGTTGGGAGAGTGACCTCGAGGATAAGTTGGTGACAAAAGAGGAGTTATTCATGTACCGCCTCGTCTCCTTCTGTCTTCTCAGAGTCAACAGATTTTTTTCCTGAGAGATTTGGTGTTTCTGAGTTGCGGTTGCGGCGCATTTTTCGGCAAAAGCTTGTACTGATGGAAACATGTGCGGAATTCGATGTTCAAGCTGTTGACGTACATAAAACAAGTCTAGCTGTTTCTGTTTAAGGATAGCGTTGCATTCGTGAATGCGAGCATTTACCAGACGATGCTTCGCTTGCGTCAAAACTTTATGACCCTCTGGTGTTGGGACAATCCGTTTCAACCGTAAGCTTCGAGGAATAACTTCAGCATCACGGCAAGCCTTCGTGAAATTCAAGTGTGTCTTGAATGAAGAGATGCTGCGGTAGATGTTCACGTACCATTTCGCTAGCTGGGTAGTCTTTTGTCCAAAGTCATCGTGAAGAGACTTGAAGGTAAACATGTTTGAGAGAATTCTCTCTGGTTGGGTAAATAATAAAGAGATAAGATAATCTGCCAACCAAAAATTGAAATAGTAGCGACCCTACGTTTCGAAACCGTTCGTTTCTTCTTCAGGGGGATGAATGAAGGACAGCAGCTTCTTCTTCTTCTAGATGTTGAGCGACTTCTTTTTCTTTTTCATTGGTCTTAGTAGGCTGGTCGTGCCATGCGCAGTCTGTTATAACATCTTGGAGGCCGGTAATATATAAAGTTGGAAGTGCCCCTAAGGACCTATTGATGTTGTTAGAGGTTGTTTGTATGTACCATGACTCTACGAGGTGTCTTCTACGTAGATTTGATGCCGTGTCTAGGATGCTTGCGTTTTCAAAGGCAATGCGGTGGTCGAGGGTCTCGCAATGTTCAGCGAGAGCACTGCGTTCTCTGTCGAAGTTTCGCACGTCGTTTTTATGTTGGCGGAGTCGATCGTGGAAGTTCTTCGATTCGCCGATATAGGAGGCGGGGCATTGGGAGCATGGAATCTTATAAATGACGCCCTGGGCCATGTCCTTCGGTGGCTTGTCCTTTGGGCGAGGTAGGAAGTGCCCAAGAACTGCACGCGACTTCTATTTTGGCTTTAAGAACAGATACAGCGGAAGAGGTTACAGGGGTGCCACCCCCATCTCCCCAGCGAACAACTGAAGTTAAACTGCACCTAGGTCGGGACGCGCTACCTGAAAGCCCCGCTGAGGCATGGTTGTATAAAAACAATATTAATTGTGCCGCAAAACCCTGCAAACTAAAGATTTTAAAAAACATTACGCGTCCCTCTTTTTGTACTAAACTCCAATAAATTTCATACAAAAAGAGTCTTTTCCGTTTATTTTTACACAAAAATCAGGCTTTCAAAAAGCTCAAGGTGACCACAGTACAGACAAACGATGAAGAGTGGCGCTGTTTTCGAATTTAGCTCGGTCTCGGTAGACGCCAGTGGCCCAGGTTTCGACGGCGAGTTTCCCAACTGAGTGTTTTAGTAACGTTGACTGAGAGTGACGTTTCACATGCTCATGGTATGCTCAATGTCACGTAGACAGCTTCTTTTTTTTTTTTGTGTATAAAATAGTTTTTGAGAACGCGATGACAAAATGGCGAGGGTAAACCCGCAGTCATTTTTAGGATGGGAAACGGGGGGGGGGGGGGGGGGGGAGGGGGGGGGGGGGCGGGGGTGTAGGTCCGCCAATGATCACGAAAGGCCTAAAAAAAGTATTCTGCGAGTCCGAGATGACCTGCTTTCTGCATGTTAAGGCGAATATATAGACCTTTTTCGAAATACTGCACTCTGTTGGCAGTCGTGGAATCCCTGCACTATGGCGGACCAAAACCGCAACGTCACGGCACACTTTATGCGTGTAATTGGAATCGAAGGGGGAAAAAAAGGTGATAAGCGCGGTGACGTTGCACCTTCAACGCTGTTATTGGCTCGTTGCTCCTAACGTTGGCCGCGCTCCGACGTTCGCTCCGACGTTCGCTATCTTGTGGAATGACTTGCGCGTTCCACGATGTCAGTTGTTCCGCCATTGAGCAGTGGTTCCGACCGTATAATAATCGGCATGAGAATTTCGAAAGGGGTCTATAAAGTAGGAGAAGCTTTTCAAATCTAATTTCAACACAGCGACTTCGCAAGAGGGTCTTGCACTCGTCACATTAGCGAGGAAACTTTGAACGTCCATAGTTTGGGTTTCATAGTCGCGAATCTCACTTAAAAGCTTATGTGACTGTCGGTATCCTGTAACGTATCTACCCGGTAAGTAGTTTTACAATTTTTTTTAGAGAAACCTAGCATTGGGTAATTAGCACTGATTAGCGAAGAAATTAAGTTAACACCTCGTGGAAAAAGAGCCTACTTCTTATTCACTGCCAATCTGGCCAATCTTACTTTTGCTCGATAAATCATTTTCTGTAGGATTTCAATGGGAAATATATATTTTAAATTGGATGTACTTACTTATATGCTGCATTGTTTCTTCCTTTCCCGCCCCACAGGTTAAAAAAGCGATCGGTTCAAGCCCTTCCGTACAACCAATTTAGCAGTGCTCAACTACTCCTCGACATGGAGGCTTTCTTCAAACATTTTCTTTTCATCAAGGAAGCAAGCGGAAGGCCAATCGGCAGCAACTTTCTGCTAGAAGCTATGTGGGTCAACCAGAAGTGCCGGTACTTTGAAGCGAACGATGCGCGTTCATTTAAACACGTGCTTAGCGCTCTCGAACTCAACAACTGGCCCTACGAGAACTTCCGTCTAGATTCGTTGACGCCGGTCGCTACCGCAGACAGATATTTAATGCTACACTCACTCTTTCAGATAGTTGTACTTAAAAGTAACAACGTCGATCGTGGCGTTGATATTCTGTTGCGGGCGCCCAAGACGCTTTTCAGGCGCTTCGTGACCAAAAATACTTCACCCCCTGAGACTAGTTATACGAGTCTTGTGCACAGAGCTCTTAGTTTATGGTCGTCGGGAGGACTGGCGGCCAGGATATCTAAAGACATCTTGAAACTTGAAAAGTCGTTGGAGGACATGATGCTTTTTCGGAAAGACCAAGCTAACTTTGCACCCGACAAAACTGTCACTACCGTCGGCGCCTTGCCCCACCAGGCAAGCTGGGACTGGTCGGTTTACTTTAACAAGCTGAGCGGTAGAAACACCACAAAAAAGTCGACTAGGATCATCGTCGAAGATCCGGTCTTCTTTAATAACTTCGGGAAACTTTTTGACAACGGTTTCAACACAGCAATTGCAAACTACGTCGGTCTCAGGGCTCTGATACTTTTCTCCCCAATATTGGGCGATAAGTATGAATTTCTTACGCCCCTTAACTACGATAATCAGGTACCACAGGTAAATCCACGACATTTCGCTTGCAACGTCTTGCTCGAAAAACTTTACAAGTACGGCATCGGAATCTCGGCAAAACTCACTCTGAGCAAAGAGTTCGCCACGATCTACCGAACGCATCTCGACCAACAGTTTGCTTCTGTTTTCAGCACGACCCAAGATGTTCTCTCAAACCTTATTTTAACGCAGCAGTCGTGGCTGACCGGCGAAGACGCCGCAATTGCACTCCGAAAAATCAAGAACATGACTCTGGTCTTTGGCACACAGGCCAACTTCCTGCAATACGAACGCTACCGCAGAACGTATCCCGTAGACGTGGAATTCAAGGAAACTCTTCTCGTGAAAACTGTCTTCAAGCTACTCTCGCACGCTTCATCTATCTACTGGGCAATCGAAGACACCGGAAGTCCAATGTACGACAACCTGTACAGTACGTCGACATTACAACCTGGCTTCGAATACCAGAGTACCAACAACCTTCTATTCGTCTCGCACGCCACTGTGGGCTTCTTGAATGGCGTCTCAAATATAATTCACTTTTTAACCTATCCGGCAGTCGCAAGCCACCTAGTGAGGGGCGTCATCAAAGCCCTGCTGGGGAACAACCTTCTATGGAGTGGCCAGGAACACTTATGGAGCTGTGGAACCACGATGGCATACCAGAGGATTACCGATTGTCTGGAACGGCGATACGATAACCAGCACGCGAGTCTGCACGACAAGGTCTTCTCGTCGGATAAGCGTGAACAGGATCTTGAGGACAACCTGGTTCTGCGCCCGCTGTTTGAGTTGTACAAGAAGGCAGCGAAGAGCAAGCGAATGGAAAACATGTTTCTTCGCACTCACTGGCCGTTGCAGCTCAACAAGACTGTCAACGAGCTTTTCTTCTACAACTACGCAGCTGCCTTCTGCGAAGACAGCAGCGTCATTCAAAGGCTCGCCAAGGAAGACTTGCTCGTGACTCCTTCGAACTGGCGTGTCAACGTTCCTTTGCAGAATTTTAAGCCATTCGCCGAAACCTTTCGGTGCTTGCCAGGAACGCGGATGAATCCAAGTTCTCGGTGCGCGATGTGGGCTTCTCCGGCACTGGCTAACGGTTCTCGGCACAATCAGAAATCGGCAATAGGAACTGACCACCCGCGAATCGACAATCGCGTCCACAGTCGGAAGTTGTGACATGTTTCGCTCGGCGTCAACTATTTTGTGCTACGTTGTCAAGGCGAGCGTAGCTTCTTCAGTGCTCCAACTCTGTCTGCTAGTTGCCGGAGCAAATGCCAGTGAGACGCGAGGCGGAGTCTCGGCCACCTGCTCTCGCAGCAGCATCCGGCTGAAGCACTGTGGAACCTACGCTAGCCTTCACAATGTAAAGCACAATACTTGACGCCAAGTATAGACATCAACCCAAGTGGACCATCTTCCACCACTTTTACATCTTCAAAAATAATGTATGTTTTAAACTTTTTTATATAATGTCTGCTGGGGAAAAGAGGGCGAGGGCGAAGTATGACGCAATTATAGAGTCTTGATCTTAGCGTCCACTATTTTGAAATTTATTGGTGTCTATTTTACGAACTGCAAACTGTCCATCGACATCAAACAATTCGCCTTTTAGTGTGAAGCCGATATGAAATTTAAAAATATCACCGTATTTAACTGGGTTAAAGGTCTTTATGTAAAATAATATTGTACAAGAGAGAGAGTAGTAGTGGGCTAGCGCACACCAGCTCGGAGCACGTGGAGCAAAAGCTCGCTCTGCAGAACCCAGGAATCCTAGGTTCAATCCCCACCCCTGCCAGTTTCAATCTGGATGAGCATCGTACCGGCGTGCGGTCCTGTATCACTACTGCGTGATGCACGTTAAAGACCCCAGGCTAGCGGTTGTACAGCACTGGCTAAATTGCTCATCTACAGCTGAGACACCAGACGCCCAATGAGGCAGACTAATTTCCGGCTGTATAAACATACACACAACAATTTGCTTTTTGCTTGCCACCACATGGCAGGGTCAAGCAGAATAATTGCAAGATTGCGAGTAGCTAGGCTAGGTGGCGCTAGGAACCACCCAATTCATGTTCTACAAAAATATTATCATTTTCTTGCGCTATCATTGCGCTTCGGGATCTTCGGGAACCTTTATTATACACAGATGTAGACACAGTACGCAAACTACAAGCATCAACTGAACATACACATTGAGCGCATACACATACACGGCACATGCAAACATCAATAAAAGAGCAGACTAACCCGTCTATATATGCTGGACCGCAAACTAAATGATGTAGAAAACTGCATCGGGCACTGAATGGCTACTTCTCCGGTCACGTGACATCAGTGGCGTCACGAGGGTCAGCGGCACCCGGGGCGGTAGCCCGCCGCGACCGCCGCAACACCCCCCCCCCCCCCCTCCCCCTCCCCCGCTCTCGTGGCCCGCCGCGACACCCTTCTGAGCCCTCCACCCGGGGTAATCTGCACCCCCCCCCCCCCCCCCGCCCCCTTTGTGGCGCCACTGCGTGACATCTCGTTGAAATGTAGTTTTTCCCTACGCAGCTATGCTGGCTCTGCTCGTAAAATGATGCAGTTGGCGGTGACGTCAAAGTGTCGTCACGATGCACTTTGACGGGCAGTTAACTGAGTGGTCGAGACCAGACTTGTACGTAATCCGTTACAAGTAACGAAATTACTTGTAATCCCTTACATTTATCGGTAATTTAGTAACGGAATAATTACATATTTTCTAAAGTAATTTTAAAGTAATTCCCTTACATTTTTTACGTAACGGATTCCTTGTAATCCGTTAGATTTTTTTCTGGACCAGCCCCCCTCCCACCCCCTCCCCCGCCCCCTCCTTTCCACCCCCCCCCCCCCCCCCCTTCTAAAGAAAAGGTCGGTTTAATTTTGGTAAAGTTGATGGCAGTGACACTCTTCAATTCCGCAAAGCCTTTTTTTTTTGTGCATTACCAATTTTCTGTATCTATTTTTTAGACCTTAAGAACAATGTCGAAAAATCCAAACAAACATTTCTAAAAGAAAAAGAAAGGGGGGGGGGGGGGGGGGGGCAAGTTATATCCGCTTTTTTTAGTGTCATTGTTTTTTCTCTTCGATCTAAGGCCGGGAGAGGAAGACACCAAGTGATTGTGTGCCTCTTCGAGGAGCTCAAGGCGGTAAGTGCACAGACAATAACTAACAATGTCCTTCTCGGTTATAGTGACTAGGACCATTTTCATAATGTCACAACACGAGACAACTCTCCGTCCGCCCTAAAATCCACTAAAAGAGATGTGATAATATGTGAAGGTGTTATTGCCACAAGCATCCTCGTTCGTCGATGCACACTTATCATCTTCTCTTAGAAAACACGATGCATATTTTTCTGCTTCTTTCACCTTATTTGACCCTTTTTTTACTTTTTTCACCTTTCACCTTTTACCTTTTTTTTTGCAGTCCAACTTCTAGGGTTGGCCAACTTTATTTGTGAATTCCAGCCAGGTTATCTGCGTCTCAGTCACCCTTTTTGTGAGTCCGCTTTTTGCGGGCACTTTGAACATGGTAATAGTCTTCCTTTATTTCTTCTTCCTGTTTTTACCCTAGTAGGACGCATCTTATCTCAAGCAGGTATTTTTACAAATAAAACATAATGGTGGCTGACGTACGCTTGATATTCTGGGCGTGTCGGTCCGTGCTCCGTGCGTTTTTGAAAATCACCACCACTTTTGCTTGTTTTAGTCCAAGTTCTAATTAATTGTTATGAGTTTTGAGTAGTTCTTCTAGATTACTTATATTAAATATTGGAAACTTTTTCTTATTCACCAACGTCTCAACCGAGGCTCGACCGGTTCAGAACTAAAGGAAAAATATCGAGTCAAACCTTATTTATTGTTTAATTATCATCTTACTGTTACCAACTCAACTAAAACTATCGAATACCAGGCAGCGGATACAAGGACAAAGCTTTGCTCTATCTTCGAGGTAAATAGCACATCCATTGCTTTGCTGAAAAAGCTCAATACAGAGCATAAAACATTCGTGAGGCACAATATGGCATTGTTAGACGTGCTGCGCTGCAGAGTTCTACAGAACAAACGCGTGACTAAAAATTGAAAGGAAAAGAATGAGTTTACATTGAGATAAAGAGAAACACAACGAACACGAATTTTTAGTCACGCGTTTGTTCTGTAGAACTTCGCAGCACAGCACGTCTATCAATGTACAACCAACTAGCCAAACCCAAGTCCAAGCTTTATTAACAATATGGCACTTCCATCCAGTGCCTCAGTTCAAAGGGTGTTCAGCGTATCAGTGGACATCTTCAGTAAGAAATAACGCAAAATGTCTGACGGGACTTTCGAGAGTCAACTGTTCTCAAAATACTCAAGGTCAATAAATGGAACAGGTGGCAACAATAAGAACTTGAATAACCTTCTTCCCTTTGTTTCTTAATTGAGGAAAATAATGTTGAAAGTAACGCCACAAAAGTAACGGATTATTTTTGGGGGTAATGGTCACTTACTTTTATGGGAGGGTAATTGTAATCGTAATAAATTGCAATTTAGCCTTGAGTAATCGTAAATGTAATTCCTTACTATTTTTCAGTAACGTGTACAAGTCTGGTCGAGACTATACTCCGTTTCACCTTACGTTGTACCGCAGCGAAGGCTAGAACCGCGTGCTCATAGCGTTGGCATCTGCTCCTGCTGCACGAGAGCTTGTGCCGCCAAAATGTGCCCTAGAGCAAGGAGCTCGTGCTTGTAGCCTTTCCTGCGGTACATCATAAGGTGAAACAGAGTATAGTCGAGACGAAGCCGGAGATCGCTCTGCATCGTAAAAAGATGGCGACCCTATATTATATACATGTCTACTGTTGGGTTCGCCAGCAAATCGGGTTTCTGGGCGAATACCAGCTGACCAAAGGGGTGACTCGCTGGCTGTGCGACCAGCTTCCCGGAAAGCTCCAACGGCGTCGCGACCGTGTGCTGATGGTCGAACAAGTCCTCACAGCTCTACGCTTCTACGCCGTTGGCGGCTTCCAGGGAACCGTCGGGAGCGACGAAAACATTGGTGTTACCTCACCAGCGCTCTGTGAGTCGCGTACTTGTTAATGTCATCAACGCTATCATCGATTGCCTCGGATATAAGTGGCTGTTTCCAGCAAACTCAAGCAGAGAAGGCGCTCACATAAAGGAAGTTTTTCGAGCGATGCAAGTTCAGCGGCGCGATCGATAAATATTCTAAATACTCTTACATGAGTCAATACGATTGTATTTTTATTTGAGTGCACCCTATATAAGCAATTTGGCTAAGCAAAAAGCCAAGCAACGGCTATTTGGTTCACACTTCACTTAGAGAGAGAGAGACATACTTTATTTTAAAGCAACCACTTCAGGTAGGGCCAGCTGAACTAGAATAAACATACACATAAAGAAACGACCACACACACCGTAGGACTAACAACTGTTTTTCATTTTCCTCCTCCTCTACTGCGAACCCCGCTTGAGGGAATTAGTCTCTTATCTTCTTTTTCGCTTGTTACTTCACCGATAATTTAACCCCCGAAGGAACTTTTTTTTTTTTCTCGTGCAGCCCGAGAGAAGTTGCACTAACGCAGTCAAACAAAGTCAAAAAGTCAATTTTGTCGTTAGTTGTTTAAACAGCAGGAGGTTAGTCTACCTGAACATGGCGACATTGTTACCCACTCTCGATAAGCAATTTAGCCGATGCAGTACGACTGCTAGCCTTGGGATTTTAGCGTGCAACACGCAGTAGTGTTACGCGGCCGAGGAGCACACGCTATGTCCAAATCCCGTGCTCGAGTATTCCAGCGGCCCTTCCATTCTGCTCGCGTTTGGTGGACTGGCCTTGGGTGTTCAGCTCGTCCACGATTCTGTCCCACAACTCGTCCCGCTCAGGCTTGGTCAGAGGACTGTCAGTGGCGGCCCTCACTAAAACTTGGTTTTCTGTCAAAAAGTCGTTCAGAAGGCTAATCGGGTGGACCGGCACGCGAGGACTTCCGCTCCTTCGTGTTGTCGGCCATGACTGCCTGCCTGTGCAAAGTAAAGGGCTGCAGCTAATGCTAATAGTGTTTGTGTAACTTAAGTAAACTGAATATTTCATGTGACATATTTGCACAAAAAAAATGGGTTCATTAAATTGCTCTGCACTATACGTTTCGGATACTT